TATGGATAGTTGATTGAAGCAACTCCTATTTTCTTTATGGTTATGAAGAAGTTCCAGGTGTTGCTATCAGAGTAATTTGGATGCTTACATTATCTTTCCTCAAAATGTTTATTTACAGTAGGTGACTCACCTTTTTCATTGTATCTCAAATGAAGAAGTGATAGAAACTGAAACTTGGGATTTATTGTTTGTGTATGTGTTTTAATGTTGAAGAATTTTTAGGAGTTCTCGCTTAAGAAATGAAACTGATGTCACTGAATACTAATCTCTTCCCAGCAATTTTCATTCTTTGGATTTATAGGCATATAGGATAATGGTGCATTTATTTGAAGATCTGCAGCTCTACCAAGCAGATTCAGTTAGTCTATCCTTGCTTTTTTGCAATGCTTTTTTGGCATCTATATCTAATTAGATATACCATCCTGTCCAAGAGAATGGCCATAGAGATTCAAATCTCTGTTGCTTCTCTGTAGTGAAGGCTACTGAAAGTACATCTGAGACGCTGAAAATAGATACATTCTTATTTATAAGATCCTTCAAGATCATGTGTGTCCAAGACATTTACAAGACTAGCTCAAGTCCAGGAGAAAGCAGGTGGTTGATAGACTTCACTTCTGTGTCTTCACAGAATTTTTCTGTAATCTGGAAAATGCTCATTTCAGAGATGAAAATGAGCTCTGGACCAATGAATATGCTCTCTAAAAAGTGATACGGAATGCAAGTGTGTTTTCCTGCATTCCAGTGTTAAATTCAAATTCAAGAAACATGGCAATTTATGTTTCTTCTTGGGGCAGTTAATGTGAAATTCACCTGTGTACATTATCGCATTACTAGAATGTCTTCCATAACTATTACATGATCAGGATAAAAACACGTATAAAGTAATATAAAGAATGAAGAAATTACATGTGACTGTATAAATTCACCTGCATAGTTGGTATGTACACAGGTTGACTCCACAAAAGAATTCTTCAGCAATTGCACGTGAAGTTTCAGTGACTCAGGACTCAGTTGTGTTTGTTAGATCTATGAACCAAGTGAAAATCAAGATTTCTTATGTATGAATCTATGAAGTGGAGACTCGCAGAATTGTAGGGGCTGGAAGGGACGTTTGAGATCATCTAGTCTCCTCTGTCCATCAGTGTGTTGAACAATTTTCCACCTCTCATCTTCCAATTTAACAGAACTCTGACTTGTGGAGCCTAGTCATGGAGTTTGCAGGGACCTGAACCAAGTGCCTACGATAGCCTTGTGTGCTAAACACTTCTTGCTCATATTTGATTGTTTAATACCAACCATCAATTAAATTATGGCAACGTGACACTAAAGAAGTGTTGATAAATGTTAAATTTGGTGTTACTGATGGCTATAAAATGGGAAATATGATTGTTATCATCCTTTGAAAAGTTTATGGTGATAATCTTGGTAATGGTGACAAGCTCGTTTTAGTAATAAACTTGTAAATAATTAGATTTATTGGACAACTAGTCAGTATTATTTTGTCATGCTTATAAGTGCTATAAACACTAATAACAAACCATTTAAGCAAAACAACTTTCAGAGAGTGTATGAGAAAAAAAGGTTCTAAAAAGGGTTAAGTATTAGCAGTAAATCAATGTTCTGAGAAGATGCTTCAGAAAAGAAATACTGCACTGTAAGACATCCTATATTGCATTTATTTGGTACTGCATTGATATTTCTAATGATTTGAACACATTCTTCTATTTTCTTATTTGCATAGTAATAGAATTCACCGTACAAGTATTTGTTGGCCTTGCTTGTAACTACCAGTTTAAAGCAACAAGGACGGTAAGGCTATGTAGCATTTGGCTCTACTGTTTTGTTATGTATGAATCATGTAGTTAACTTAAACTGTACTGTATTTTCTACCTGATCATTACAACTCTTAAGCTGTCTGTAGCTCATGCAATCATATGTTGTCTAAAACTTAAGCTGCTGGAGCCCTTAAGTCTTTATTCATCAACCTCAAGTTAAATATAAACTGAGCTTTTTTAACTTCTGTGAGCTGGTTTTGTAGTAAAATAACAGTCCTAAACTAGCCGTGTGGAATAAAACAACAATAATGATTAATATGTCAGGCTGGTATTTAGTATTAGATGGGTTGCATTTTTCTGTTCTTGTTGTAGCTGCTCTTAACTACAACAGCACTAAAAATGGTTGGGATCAAATGGAAGGAATTTTCCTGAGCTAATAAAAAAAATAATTTATGCTTTATTTTCACATTTGACAGTTTTTTCACTATTGTTTTATTTTTATTTTATTGTTTTATTTTATACAAGTCTTTGGGAACAAATATGCTCACTTCTGCTTGTTTTTAGCAATGAGCATTGTTTTATGGCTTAAGTAGTTTGAATAGCCTGTGTTTGGCATCCTGTTTAACTTTCAAATAGTTACTCTTCAGAAATAAATTTAAACATTAAGATGATCCATGTCTTCTAAAATGATTTCAAAGGAGTCTACTTGGCTAAGTAGAATATGATTGGAAGTCCAGTATTTAATGAAAAATTTAAAATTTCTACCACACTATGTTTTTAGGTTTTGAGTAGAGAGTAACATCAAATCTTGTTCATTTTGTTCAAAGAAAAGTTACAAGCTTTTTGGTGACAGTACTTAGAAGTGCAGACATATATGAAGAGTTATTGTGGTGAAGCAATGTCAGATAAAGATAGAGGACATTCTATAACAGAAAAAGTTCCCAAAAGTTAAATGGTAGTTTTCCACTGACTTACCTATGTTGTCTGAAACTTCAAAGTAATTAGCAGGTGAAACAGAAATGTTTAATGCTTTCTTAGCCTCTGTCTTCAACACTGATGATAGGCTCTAAGACACTTGGAGCCCTGAGCTGGAGAACTATGACTGTGGTAATGATAAACTCAACCAACCCCAAACTTGTGTGGGATTTGCTGGTCCACCTAAATGCATAAGGCCCTGCAGCCCAATGGAATTCATTCCAGGATACATAAAGAGCTGGCTGATGTCATTGTGACGCCCCTCTCAATTACTTTTTGGCAATCTTGGGAATCAGGAGAAGGCCCAGTTGACTGGAAGCTGGCAAATGTTGCCCCACATTTCAAGAAGGGCAAGAAGGAAGACACTGGTAATTACAGGCCTGTCCATCTTGCTTCAGTGCCTGGTAAAATTATAAAGATAATTCAGGGATTTACTGAAACACCTGAAGGACAATGCAGTCATTGGTTGCAGCAAGCATAGGTGTGTGAGGGATAGTCCTGTTTGACAAATCTAATTTCCTTTTATGACAGGGTCACTCACCTAGTTGACAAAGGAAAACCAGTTGATGCATTCTTTTGATATTTCAGAAAGGCTTTTGGTACTGTTTCTCATTTTATCCTTCTGGGCAAAATGTTCAGCATGCAGCTAGACAAATATATAATGAAGTAGGTGAACAACTGGCTGATATGTGGGGTTCACATAATTAAAGTAAATGGGGTTACATCACCCCATTATGCAGGGCTCCTTTTTGGGATCAGTTCTCTTTAGAGTTTTCATCAATAACTTGGAAGCAAAAATTAGAAGTATAGTAAGTTAGTTTGTGGACAACATGAAACTGGGAGGACCTTTTGTCTTCCTTGACAGTCTGCAGAGAATTATTGACAAATTATGGGGCTGAGCAGCTACAAGCTGCATAAAATTTAACAAGAGCAAGTGCTGGATTCTGCACATGTGATGAGGCAACCCTGCATATATATGTACAGTCTGGGGGATGACAGGCTGGAGAGTGGCCCTCGCAGAAAGGGGTCTTGTGGTTCTGATTGACAAGTTGAATCTGAGTCAGCTCTGTGCCTTGGCAGTCAAAAGGGCCAACCATATCCTGGGGTGCATCACACCAGCATTGCCGGTAGAACAAAGGAAGGGATTGTTCCACTCTGCACTATGCAGGCTTGCCTTGAGTGTTATGTGTGGTTTGGGGCACCACAATGTATGAAGGACATAAAACTGTTAGAGTCTCCAAAGGAGGGCTATGAAAACGGTAAAGGGTTTGGAGAGCAAGATGTGTCTGTATGATGAGCAGCAGCTGAGGTCCCTTGACTTTTTCAGCCTAGAGAAGAGGAGGCTGAGGAGAAGGTCAGTTGGGTGTTAGGAAAAGATTCTTCACCAGAGGGTGGTCAGGCACTGGAACAGGCTTCCTAGGACAGTGTCACAACCCTAAGCTGCTGGAGTTCAGGAAGCATTTGGACAATGTTCAGACATAGCGTTTGAATTTTGGGTGGTCCTGTGTGGAGCCAGGAGTTGGACTCAGTGATCCTTGTGGGTCTCTTCCTTGTATATTCTCTGTATATTCTCTTTGTGGTCTTTAATATTAATTTTTAGTATTTTTTCACAATGAGAATTTCAGTGGGTTGTTTGGGGGTGCAGCAGAAGGGGACAGGAAGATCTTTGTTATGTCACTGAATGGCCTGTGGAGTGCCAGCAGGTCACTGACCTTTCAAAATAGCACTGGTGCTGAAACTGGAAATTTAAGCTGAAAACTTGAAACAAAATTCTGGCTTCAATCTTAGACAACTTTTTTCCTCGGATATTTATGCCAGCCGGATATAATACACTTAAATACAAATAGAAGTACATTCTTCTCAGATGAACCTTTGTATAAAGAAGGCAAAGCAACTTTAGGACTGACTAAACTCAAGATATACATTTTAAAATTAAAACAAATGCATAGTGATTCTTTTTCTGAGGTAATAGTCTTCAAGGCTCCAACTCTGCTTTTAACAGTATTTTTCTTTCTCATCTACAGTGCTTGTTCCCTACCCTTTTTGTTTCTTTAAATAAAATTTGGATGATGAACAAAGGTTTTTGCCATGAATGTTTTAATTTTTTTAGCTTGGGTTAGTAGCCTGCTTCTTCTGTATTGCATTTTCATTTTGATTGTAGGCAAGCCCATTGCTACTGAAAATAGCTCAAATGTGCTTTGAAAAGAAACAGCCAGCAGCTCAGTTTCTTTCTTTCTCTTTCTCTTGCAGACTCTTGCATATGAGTTTAATTTTTTGAGAGAAACCTTCATAAAGGGCTAAATAAGATCTATACATACAGAAAGTTTTTACTTCTTCTGCACTTGAGACACAACTAAACTTGTCTGTCTGGTAAGTCATATTTTTCTAAAGGATTTGTCCTTCTTCCTGTCCTTATGACTTGCATTCTTGAGTTTCTCGTTAGTGTTCAGAGAAAATCAGCTTCTGTTAGTCAGTAGTTCTGCATATAATATGTATAGAAGTGTGAAGACCTCTAGGAAGGCATTACTGTAATGCTTTTGCAAACTTGAAAATGCTACCTTTTAAGTCCATAGGATGCTTTGGGATAAGTTAGTTTGTAATTTTTGTTGATCTAGTAGTTCATTTTCAATTTGTTATAATGAAATTGTTTAGTATTTTAAAGCAGAATTGGTGATTGTTCTTTCCTGAAATTCTTTACCTATTTGGATGTTCTGTACTTAGAGAGTGAAACAGGATTTTTTATTATGAAGTGTATTGCTTTGTGTTAAGTCAGAGTTCAGAAATAACTTTCCCAGCAAGTCATTCATTACTCATTGCTTGCAGGTTAAATTTTGTGTAGATAAAACAGGTACATGTTATTGATGCAACAGTGTATTTTTCTTGGTAGTATGCACCTATGTCATAGTTTGGCAAACGTACTTGTCAGTCATTAATGTAATTCTGAAACTGTTCCATTCATGATGTTTTTTGGGTTACATTGTTTCTTCACTTTTTAACTCTACTGCTTGGAATTTTTGTCTCTTGGATTACCGAGTGTTAACTCATTTGTCTTCTGTTTTCATTCTACTTAGTGTTTCAAACAAAGAAAATATCTGAAGAGCAAAAGTGGTTTGTTTTGGTTTTCTTTTTCCCCTCAGTGCTACGGCTTTAAGCAATTGCTTAGGATAAATGGCAGCCTATGTAAAACCAGTCCATTTGATCACAAATACTGGCCCTTTGGTTTACCACAATTACTGTGTTCTTGCATCCTGCATGTCCTAGTTCTGCATAGTTCATTTTTCAGGCCTTGCTATTGCTCTAAAGTTAGTTTATTTCAAAAACATGCTGAAAGCCAAGTCATTTTTAAAAGTAGTTCTACATTTAATGTAAACCACCAATTCTGCAATTTATTTTCATAGGAAAAGAAAAAAGTAGATCAGAGTTCCTATATAAAGTGGAAAATACCCAAACAAATTTTATTTATAAAATAGAGAATTTCTGAAATCTACATACGCATTTCATACGGAATATACATATATATATATATATATATATAAGAAATAAAGAGATTTGTGTGAAGTAGGAATTTTCTTTGGCAGCTCTTCAAAAATATTAAAAACAAATCTGGTTGAGTTCATGGTGAGAATGTTTTATTCTCATATGAGAATCTTGGATTAAATTCTGCTTTATATTCCTTAGAGTAGCAGATATTGAAGGTGTATCTGTCCAAAACTATAGGACTTTTGATACCAGTCTCATTTTCTACTTCAAACGAGACACTCTCCTTCTTTGTCTCATTTTCAATCAACCCATATTCCTTTTGCTTTAAGATTTTCTCTGGTCCTGTCTTACTGTCAAACATAAAGCTGCTTCCCTAGTCCTGTAGATCCAAGTCCTTTTATTTCCTAAGTTCGTTTGAGCATCCAAGTATTCTAGTGAGCACTTTACTTAGATTGATGCTTTTCCTGTAAAAACTAGTTTTTAGTCTGTGACTTATTCAGAAGAATCTGAAGCTTCCAGAAGAACTTATGACCCTTCAAATGCCATAATGTAGTTATCAATTCAGTGGATATGTATATAAGGGAAGCAATGTAAAACTTTGAGACCAGAATACATAGTTGGAAGAGAAATCAGGCTGTATAATAGACAAAATATTTAACAAATGCTTTCAATCAAAGCCAGTACTTGAATTGTGTAAAGTAAGGGTCCAGGATGTTTTATGAATGATCACTTTTTACTTCACATTACTTTAAAGTTGCAGTACAAGGCTAAGTTTTTGTTTGGTATTTAACTTTTGACTGAGTAACAGAACCGTCATACAGAAACTTTTATATGGCATACTGACACAACCAAAATTTTAGCTGAGTGAACTTGGCACTAAATTCAACTAAAGGGAGGGAAAATCTCAAGAGAGCAATGGAATTTCTTTCTTTGCGTAAGTATACCTCTGCATTCATGGGGAACAAACAGTAACATTTTGTGCAGGTTTCTGCTTTTGACAGTGTGTCTTTGTTCACTTCCCAAAGGTGGTGTCAAATACATTGGGAAAAAAATAAAATGAAAAATGCAAATACAAGAGTTTATTTAATTATATGGTCCAGATGAACACTTTAGGTCTGGAACTGCCTAGCACTGTTATTGGTAGTTCTTTGTGTATGAGGAATAAAGGCTCACTTTATGCAATTTAAATTGTATAAATAAATATGCTCTGTCCCTACTGTTTTTGTAAGTTTAAATAGAGGGGTGGGAGGCAAGTGTGTTTATAAGCTTTTTATGATAGACTTATTTGATCAAAGAGAATCTCAGAAAGTGTTTCCTTCTTGTCAGTACAAAAGTTTCCCAACCAGTACACAGTTTTACCTGAGCTGTTATTTCAAGAAATGGCACTGATAAAGATCTTTGGTTAATATACTGCTTATTCACAATGTGTCAATGTTGCTTTCACAGCGTGGTCTAAGTTCAATTCTTTTATTAATGGCAACTGGATTTTATGGTGTCCAAATTGCCCAGTTTCTGATCTGATAGAAGAATTGCAAAGGCACGTGAATTCAAACTGCATGTAACAATACTGGAGAAGATTAAAAGTGTTTTTGAAAAATGGAGAGCAAAATCTGATAATAAAGGAAATTAGTCTGAATGATCACCTTGCAAGGGATATATGGGGATGAGGGAATATATCAATTTGAAAGTACCTGAGAGAGTACGTGTGCTTATGTGAGACCCGGCACTTGTTTCTGCACTGGACTTATTGGCTTTGTATTGTTCTGAGATGGCAATAGATAGCTCTGTAAAAGATTCATTATGTCATTCAGTACCTCACTAATTGCTATAGAGGAGTGTGATTTCGATGATACTCTGGCACATTGGTTATCTGCTATCTGCAGGGGAAAAAAAAAAAAAAAAGCCAACAGAGAAACAGTGGCAATGCCTCTGATCTTTTGATAGATCCAGGTGAGCTAGGATCCAGCAGGATTCCCAATTTCTTACAATAGCCTGTGCTTATCATCATTAATTATTATTATTAATCTGTGGTTTGAGAAAGAGGATAAAATTAATCACTTACAAATAATCAAGTATAACAGTAAGCATCTTGTGTTAGGGTTACTAATTTTTAACCACAATGTCAAAGCGTTTTGTTGCTTAACTTTTCTAAAAAAAGTTCTCTTTTGAGATGAGCATTTTTCAGATTCAACCTCAGTACTATTCATTTTTTATCATTAAAAGAAAAAGAAAAAAGAAAAAAAAAAAACCCTAAAAGTTGCCAATGAGCAGCAGTTTTTTGCATTTGAACCAAACAGATGTGGTTTAATTTTCAGTTCTGCCTTGAGCTTTCAATTTGGTTTGACTTTGTATTTGAATGGTATTGATTGGTAATAATGAAGTAGTATGGTACGTAGTAGGGAATATCATTGTTTAGCCACCTGTGTGCTTGTACAACAAAGATAAATGTGCTTATACGCTGTCTCTTTCTAAGTAGGCACTTAACCATACATCTAATAAGTATGCTTTAATCTCACATAAGACACTGCCTGCTTATGTTTGTGTGTAAGACTGCATTTGTCTCCATATGTCAGTGGCTTAAGAATAAGTACGTTTCTTTAGTGGCTTACATTCCTTAATGTTTAATGCTGTTTAGAAGGCTATGTCTTCTTTATTACCGGAGGCAACTTGAGTACTTAGGCTTCCTTGACTCTTGAGATTGCTAATCACTTGTTCCACAGAAAGGTTTTTTCCTCCCTATTAAAAATAATGTAGAAGAATTGCTTCATTTAAAAGCACAACTCAATAGCTTGTTGGGTTTTGTTTTAAAGAAAACTCTTAACATGCTTATATCTCTTCCCTGATATTTTTGCCAAAACAAAAACAAATGAAAAAAAACAGATAGGTGACAAATGTGTTAGCAGCTCTATCCTTGTGAAGATGAAAGCATCATTCACGAGTTACTGCATACAAGAAGTCTCTGTATTAGAAGTGCCCCATGAGGAATACCTGCTTAGGACTTCCTCATTTTTGTGATTCTTCTCAATAGATCTAAAAGAGCTGAGAATTAAGTGCTACAAGATGCAGCTGGACTCAGTGTGTGACCCTAAATCTCCATGGGTTCTTTGGATCTCATGGAGAGCAGCAGATCTCTTCTCTGTAGGCTGGAGACTTAAAAAATCAAAGTAAAAGAGAGGACAGCAGAGATAGTAGGCTTCCTATCTTATCCAATCTCATTTACTTCCCTGGGAAGAAAGGAAGCAGAGGAGACAAGAAAAGGAAGACAAGCTCTATTGCCCACGTGAAAGGACTTATCTGAAGAGCAGTAAATTTAGAGGCCCAGTTCTTTGGTGTTGATAACACCAAGTCTTTCAGTGCTGTTGAGTCTTATCTGTAGACTTATTTCTTTCTGTGGTTTTTATACCCTTCAATATATAGAATTCAACAAGTAGAAACTTTCTACAATGTTTGTTAACCAAATGAAGGCAGTAGGAACTTGCTGTCAGAGGCCAGTGGATTTCCAAATGGTATAAAGTTACTTTTTGGTTTCTACATCCCATTTGGGCTCTGCACTGAATAAAGCTTTTCGGTGAAGTGAAGGCTGATGGTTTCAGAAGAGAAGGCTGATGGTTGATTTTTGAAAAATTATTACAGCTCTGATCCAAAGTAATAATTTAAAATTGAGAATAAAACTTTAAACTTTGTTAAAAATGAGGAGATTTAGTGAGTATTTTAAGCTTATTACTATGGTTTAGAGTCTGGGAACATTCTAACATACTCAAAGACTGCTGCCTTTGTGAAAAACAGTGGTTAAAACTGGCCTTAGCTTAATTCTGCTTCCAGAATGCTAATACTGAATGTATTTGAAAAACCTTTCTTAAAATATTAAAAATAAAAATAACCATAGTCTA